GTATACGATATTGATATTGTAAATAGTTCTGAATAATTTGCAACTCTCTAAGTACATTGTTTTGATTATTATTGGCTTTTATAGTTTTGTACCTAAATAAACCAAATACAATCTCATTAACAACTTTATTATTGTTATTTATACAATATTTCCTTATATAGAAACAAAAGCAGAATTTCCTATCATCTTTAGAAAAGCAATTTTTTTGTTTTTTTGCTTTGTGTAATTATAAGGCAGACCTTAACTTTTATTAAAAAAACTTATCCTTAGTTCAACCCTGGGACGACCACAGAGGACAAACTGAAAAATAGCTTTGCCCTCCCTTTAGTTTAGTTCTGAGCGTCAAAAAGCAGGAGGGATTCAGTGCTGATGTTGCATTCCAGCTGGAACAATCCCACTGTTTTCCAGACCCCAAAGTGGACGCCTAAATTGGACAACAATCTGCCCCCCACCCCCTTCCCTTTCCAATACCCCTCACCTCTCTTCCCACACGGACACCCCTTTTTCTCCCTCCCCAGCTCTCCAGCCAGTCAACCAACCCACTCCTCCCATATACGCATCCCCTGGTCTCCTGCCCTTATTTGGGTAGAGACTTTCTGAGTTAGGGGGATGGGGGGCAGAGAGGGAGGGAAGGAGGGCGTTGAGTTGACACAAGGGAGGCAGGAGGAGAAACGGCGAGCTCTTGCAGGCCTTTCTTAATAAGGACATGTCTGGAATTCATGCCCCTCTTGCGTTGAAGAGCCTCTCTTTTGCAGCACCTCTTTCAAACATGCTCGTGTGAGCCCTCCGAGGTCGTCAGATCGACCGTGGTGCCGAGCACTACTTGCTGCTTTTCACAGCTCGTAGTCTAGAAGAGGTTTGCGGTGTTCTCTGCTATATCTGGAATAAACAATAGCCAGCCTTTTCTACCTCGCTCTCCCTGCCACCAGTCTTTAACTACCTAACCGGCTACTGTATCACACGCCTGCAGTTTCCTTATTGATACATGTTATCTATTTAGAAACAGTTTCACGCCAGACTGCGAAATTGTTTTATACTTTGAGCAGATGCTATGCTCTAAATTTCAAAGATTACTTTTAGAATGGCATCAATGAAGAATTGTGTTGTTTCAAGTCTGCGTTGTAGAGTTATAAGATGTGATAAGGTGTAACAGAGATTTGAGCAACTTTTCATGACCCCACTTTAGAGCCTCAGTTAAATATTAACTAATTATTACATGTTTTCTTCATTAAATCCTTCTACTTACATTCATCATTCTTACTGTTCTCTTCATTTTATGCACAAACATTGATTACAAAAGACTACCAAATCACAAGCTCACCCTTAACTGGAAATTTACTTTTGTCAATAATTGAGGTAGTTATAATGGTTTGTAATTAAAGCCATGGACTATTGTCTAATGGGATCCAGCCTTGTGATTTGTGTGGTCTGCAGTGGATTATTCGGGCTGTTGATGAGAGCTCAGTATCAGTGTTGAGTGATCGTGTTGCAAAGGCTCTGTCATAAGGGTACCGTCTCAGTTAACTTGTGTCTATTTGGGTTCAGTAGCTGCAGTTAATCTTACATTAAATGAGAAGACTGCTTTGTTGGACCTTAATCTTTTTGCAAAAGAAAAAAACTCAAAGGATGCTGAAACTAGAGAGTAACTCTGTACTCAAAACCAGACTGTAAACTTATAATACTAACACACATGTACGTATTCAATGGGGGCAAATTGTGAGAAATACAACAGCTGTATATAGCTCAACATTTCACAAAGTGTGCTTAGTTTTCCTCTTGGGATGCAAATGTAGAAGGTTTTTTATGGATGGCAATTTCTGCAGCTTAAAGGTATTGTCGAGGATTTTCACAAATTTTTTAAAAGACCCGCCTTCTCCACTTTAAAAAATGGGCATACAAAAGCCTGTTTTTCCTTGTGCACACTCTGTTTAAAAGTTGCTGTTTTCATAGCTCATACAAGCTCATACTGTGCCCGAACATCTGCTCTATCCTAAACCCCTCGATTACTTTATAGAGCAGATTAACATTGCTTTTTGCTCCCCAATGGTCACGTAACTCCTCCTTCACTACGCAGTGCCTGCGCCATCTTTGTCATTATTGTAAGGTAGCGACAGCCTATGGCGACAGCGGGCTGCTGTGCCAGCAAATCCCATAAGGCTTTGCGGGGAGAGCTCTCTGCGCAAAGCATTGTGGGATATATCTGCCTCTTCTGAAGCCTTTCTTTTCTTCTCATACACTTCGTAGACACTTTTTCTTACGACCCTCTGCCATTTTCAAAGAACCACAGTGAGAAAGTTGAGCTTCAATGACTACAGTATGCCAATATAGCTAACGGGATGAGCATGTAGGACGGACTTACATAAACAGATCACCAGAAAGATTGACAATTACGACGACCACTTATTTAGATGATCCACCAAGAAATAAAAGATGATCCTCTATAACTTAAATGCAAACTTGTTTCCACATTTATGTTGGAGGGAATTAAAACTTTCATAAAACTTTTATTATAAAACCTTTTTAAATGTTTACCATTTGTATCAATGCATTCACTCTAAAATAAAATCACTGGACTTAAAGGTTACACTGGAAAAATATCGAAATCTAGATAAGTAATTTTTTCTTATAAAATAAGTGCATTTGTTCTTGGATTGAGGAGGTAAAAGAGACATTTTGTCAATGGAAAGAAAAAAAATTTACACGTAAAAAAAGAAAACACAATTGCATTCTTATTTCAAGTGCTTATTATCTAGTAAAATAAATAAATAAATGAGTAAAAATACTCTTTCTAATGGCAAACTCCCATTTACCTACTCAAATTAAGGGTAAATACGCTTAATTTAAGAACTTTTTTCTTATTTCTAGTTCGTTTTTCCTGGGGTATATCTCTGTAACTGATTACTGTGTAGATGAAGTTCAAAAAGACAACATAAAGGATTTGTTTTATATGTTAGAACTAATATAATTCTCTTTAATTTTCTTGTTCAGAAATAATGTTTCATCATTGAAGTAATGCTTCATTGCTAATTTAAAAAGATGAAAAGCTTTCTGACCTATAATTATTGCCTCATGTAGTCACAGCTTATAATAAAACCATAGCAAATACTTTGAATTCATTATGGCTGTCTTAATCTTTTCTTTAAACTCAGAACGTCCATTTGGTTCATGTTTCATTCTCAGATGTGCTCCCTGTATTTATCCATTTTACTAGACATTTGTCATTGTCTGTTAAATTGTTAAAACAGAAAGAGAAACATCCTGAAAAGATCATTACCTCATTGGCTTTTCATACAGAAACAATACAACTGAAAAGACAGCTTGAAAAATACTTAAGATCTTTTCCCTCCAGTCAGCTACAATCCGACCACATGGGGAAACAGTTCCCAAACCACAAGCATTCTCAGAGACCAATGCTGATTATTGGGGTCTTTAAACTTTGTTTTATGAAATATCTTGAATTCATCTGAACATTTATGAGACATAGTATAGATTAAAGTGTAGTGATCAAAACAAGCCTGTGAAAATAAAGTGTTAACCTTGTACTTCTCATGAATTCTCACAGCTTTTCTTTTCCTTACGTTTTCATAGGTAAAGCATTTTTGAGGTTAGAGCAGTGTGAAAAGAGCTAGAGACAAACCAATAATCCATTTAAGCATTTAACAAAGAATCTCCTATTAGATACTTAAAAGCAAAAAGTTTAAAAACTTCTAACTTGTTTGCTGGTTGGTTATCTCAGATCAGTGCCTTCATGCAGTCTTAGAACTTGTTCGTCCAGCTTAAATAGCAAAAGTTTCCAAACTTCCACTTAGTCGTCCAACTGGTTTGGTGTCTCATTGAGACAAACGATGGCTTGTAATCATCCAAAAGACAGTTTGCAAGAAAGTTTCAATCATGTATTAATTTAACTGATTTTCTACATGGTTTTCGTCAAACAACTTAAGTAGATCTTGGTTTATAATTTAGTGTTGCTTTTAAGCAAAGCCGTGTTAGGATTCTGCAATCTTCTGTCTCTGACACTCAGCTTGAGGTCTTGTTCCTGTATTCTGAGTTTGTTAGACGGGTTGTTGTTTATAAGTCCCACCATGTTGGGGCAGAAAGTTCAAACAGAAAGGTATTTTTGCAAAAGTAACATCTGACTTTTTAGTCAGCTGGCCATTAAAGAGCAGAAGTAATGTGTTCTTATAAATCTTCTGTATAGTCTGGCATAATACCACAAACAGCAGAGAGACTGAGATGTTGAAAACTTGCCGTTGTAATGAGTTATTCTTGACTTTATTCTTTCTTTAATCAGCAGTCCTGACAGTTTAGATCTCCTTATTGGTTTAAGGACACTGATAATTTTCCAAACACAGGCTTCATATGCACAGTTTCTAAAATGCTGACTAGATTTGCTCTTAGTCTATCAAGCAGTATGAGGGATTGTTGTAAAGCCCACTATACTATGCAGGGATATTTTGCTCTCGCTACGTTCAGGAGGAGGGAACTCTGCAAAGACAATGACTCAAAGCAGTTATTTAGGTTTTCTTAAACATTTTATGAATTGCATAAAATGAATGGAACTAAATCAAATATAACTATAAGGGGGACAACATTTTATTTTGAAGTATTTTAAATATCTCTAGATAAGCATAACTTAGGTTAATTGAACCAGTGGACAAATGAGCTGGTTAAGTCTTTGAAATTTCAACCTATTAAATCCTAAAAAATATCCAGACAAGAGATTTTGAATCACTGTCTGTTGATCAGCCTTATAAACTCCTAATCTTTACAATCCTTTATTCACAATCCATCATTATTATTTTGTACACTCAGTACAGCTCAGATGTGGCTATGAATTCTGCAAATGTCAACCTGGTTTAACCTTCAGTCTAAAATGAAATGTAAATTTTACTTCTTATGAGAGGTATTTGTTATAACAAAATGTCAGTTGGATAAAAAAAATCTCAGTGCTGCTGACTCAAAGGATAAAAGTGAAAACTTCTGACCTGCTTTGTCTACAGATTTCCCTGCTGATCCTTTGATCTTGGGGCTCAGGGTCGGGCCCAGGGGGAGCCGCCACCATTGCGTCCAACGAGTGGAGTGCGAACGGTAGCCCAGAAGATGGGCTGGACGGGGAAAATGAGGACAAGACCATGGATGGAGACGCAGAGGGCGTTTGGAGCCCAGATATCGAGCAGAGTTTTCAGGAGGCCCTTGCAATCTACCCTCCCTGTGGCAGAAGGAAAATTATCCTGTCAGATGAGGGCAAAATGTATGGTGAGTACGTAGCCAGAGCAGCACGAGAACAAAAAAGAACAAGGGTATAAAACAACAGGAGTGCTTATAATGAGAAGCCATAAGCATGAAGTGATTTGACTCTAAAAAAACAGGCAAATTTTGTATTTTCTCCTTTGAATGGAAATAACAGGATTACTTTTCACTCTCCTTCACACTTCTTTCACAACTTAAACTCAGAGATGAGTGTTTTCTTTCCACTCGTAGCTCTGTTTAACAGGTCTGTACCTGTTGAGCTGTGACCCACGGGCTGGTTCTTCCAGTCACACTAGCACTTTTAGAGGTGGTTATTGCTATCCTGAGAGAAGCTCAGCTAATCTTCCCACCTGATTTACACCAGTCTGTTCCTGCAGAATCTTCTTATTTATGGCCTGGTTTCTATTCTCAGGTCTTTTCTTCTCTTCAAACATTTATATTTTTTTCAAACAGCCATAATCTGTTGTTTTTTTCTCTCTAAACTTGTAGTACTAGGAAACCATTGCCTGTGGGTGACTGGTTAAAACGGTTGTGTTTGATCCTGGATCGCTTGGTTAGATTAGAGATAATTAGCACAGCATGAAGCAAGACCTAAGAACAAAACACTGCATTGGCATAGCCTGCTGTTGAAGTTTTTAAATATCCATGTGGTTGTGTTGTTTCCTGCTGCATGTTCATAAAATTGCAGGTGTTGAGCCCTTGATGCACCTAAAACCTCCAGATGGAGTTACTGGCATGTGTTCCTGCAAAATAACTAGCATCCAGGTGGAGCAAATTAATCACACTTGTCTATTTTGGTTCTCTTTTCAAGTTGTCTTTTGATTGAATTTTGCATTCGTACATGGAGATCGTACAAATCAGCAACTCATGTTTTTAGACGTGATTTTACCAAAGCCTTCTGTGTTGTTTTCTGGGCATTGAGAGCCAAAAAGTCATCCCTGTAGGGCTGAAACTATAGGTTGTATCAGGTTTTTTTTTTGTTTGGTTTTTTTGCAACTATTGTGAACCAGCTATAAAAAAAAACCCACTAAGATTTGTGCTTCTGCATCTGTAACTAAGTATTTTAGAAGTGTTGTTTCTGTTCAGAGATAATTGTCTGTTGTCAGGAGGCCTTTTTGGCACTTATGACGTCAGATTGGATTCTTTTGGTGTGAATCACCCAAGATGGAATCTCATCCTCTCATTTGTCAGACAGATTTGGATACTGAAGGACAGGGACATGTCTAAATACTCTCAGTTAGTGTGGTTATTTTTCTTTGCCCTATTTTTGTTTTCTTTCTGAACTTGGGTAGAGACGCTCTGATACGAGGTATTTTCTAACAAACATTTAGCATGATCTTGTTTAATTTAACTGATAGAAGTATATGTTTTTGGTTTATGAAACAGAAAATTTACTACAATGAAGCTCTATAATTTGATGTAGGGACCAGCTGATTCCATTTTGTTTGCGTCTGGAGAGAAACATCAAAACCTAGGATAATGTTGGCACTAAAATGAGAAAATTCAAGTTTACTAAGAATAAATACAGTCTTATTAATTAAAAAAAAGGGAGAATCGCTGTTTATAAATGTGTAATCTGTCAAGGCTCCAAACAAATTAAACATATCCTGGATTTCATGAAGAGACCCTGTGTTCTGTCAGTTCAACATACTCCGTCAGAGTAGCATACACGTAGCGCGTACTGACTCTAAAATTGTTGAGTTAGCATACGCTGTCAGATCGCCATACGCATAGCACAAATTTAAAAAAGTAATATACAGGAAGTCTACTAGGCTACTTTTTTATGAGCGATATCATTAAACCACAAGTTGTAATCGAAAGTTTATACACAAACTTAAAAGAATTGCATACCGAAAGTCCACTAGGCTAGTTTATTTGTGCAGGATGTAATAAAAAAAAAGTTGTAGTCAGAGGTAATAATAATTTAAAGTTAATCTTCTTTAAAACACAAAAAACAACGCTTTCTGTTTGACACTTCACAACCCTACAAAGCAGTTAACCTGTCTGATCGTCAGTCACTCAACCCGTCAGATTATCATACACTTCGATATTTATGGCTGTATGACACCCTGACATAGCAGCTAACCTGTCAGATAATTATGCACTTAAACTTTCAGATTGATTGGCGAGGCGTGTTTGCACGGGACGTGTTTTGTATTCGGCTGCAGCTGCAGCTAGATACTTCTCTAAATAAACTTTAAACTATCTCAATGTGTGTGTATCACTTTATTTAAGTACAAAAGACTATTTTAATACTCACATTTTGTTTTTTTTTGTTTTTTTGTTGCATAAGAGGAATTGACAGCTCCTCTATGTATTCTGTACTTGGTGCAGAATTTGCATGGACGCGCATTGACTATATTTATGCCACTGATGGTGTATGCTGAACTGACAGAACACCAGCAAATATTTTTTTAACATGAAAGGATGAGCTCAAACTTTTTTACATAATTGGCTACAAACTTGGTAACTCAATCCAGAGCAACTTACTCTTTATATGTGTGGATTGAGGTAAAAGTTGTGAAGATTGAATCAGGGGACCAAAAACAATTAGGACACTAAATGAATGCTTGCCAAACCCCCCGCAAAACATTGTAATAAACATGCATACTCAACATTTTGTTTGTATAAAAGCACATGCAAACTAAACAGCAGGTGCAAACTATTTTATTTGTGCAGAGTAAATGCTTTTGACAAAACTGCACAATGCTTTGCAATGATAATCATATGATACAACTTCCAAAGCAATAGTCATGACCCTTTATACATCAGATGATATTTTTGTCTTAATGTCTGTGCAACACTCCCGAATTTTAAATCCTCCTCAATAAATTATATACAAAAATAAAATCAATTCAGTTAAGAAACTGGAAATGTTCCTCTCTAAATTCATATTATGCATCAAAACTCTATTATTACATAAAACCTTTTTGCAAATGTACTTTATAATAATAATAATAATATACTAAATTTTTTCAGTATAAATAAAATCATATTCACAATTAAGTTGTCTACATTCTTGATAAATAATGTGGAGATTTCTTTAGAAGTAAACATGTAAATTTGGAAAGAGAAATAAAGTTATCTTTATTAACATAAGTCTATAGCTTCATAGAGGGGCAAACTTTAATCCCTAATTCATTTTCCTCGAGTTAAGCAATAATTATATTCTCCTTATACGTGTTGCTTTGTTGTGCTTTTCTTTTGAATGTCGTGTGTATGCGAAGATCAGGGCTGAAAGAAAGCTGGTAAGGTGCAGTATTGTGCAACATCAGGAGTCAAAAGTGTGATGCAGTACCGGAACAAAGCGAAAGCAGCACTCGCTTAAAATTGTCTCTGTACAATCTGATGGGCTTTGGTGCCTAAATGCCATTTGCTCCCCTTAAAGCCAGGGGTCCTCAACAGCAACCAGCCTTCAAAAGACATAGCACTACATTTAATGTATTTCCACTCATTGCAAAATGTCTCTCCTGCAATAAATGAGAGAATTAGTAGTTCTTTAATTTAAATGTGTTCAGTTTGATAACATGGAGAAACTAAAATAAAAAGCTTCTGAGCTACAGGTCAGAGATTTCACCTTACATTACTGTACGCATGCTTCATTCTCAAACACAGCGGTGTGCGTGGCGATTGGTGCATTTCATTTATTTTACTGTGTTTTTCCATTCTTACAACTGGTCTGCAGACTTTAAAAATCAAAAACAAAGCTCATGCTGGGAGAGGATAAACAATCAATAAAGCCAGAAAACTTCCAAACATTGCTGTGGTTTGCTGAAACACTTTCAACATGGTTTGAATACAATGGTTATTATCTACAGATTTAAAAAACAAACGAAAAAGAGATTGGGAAAGACGCAGCAAAATGGGCGAATGTTTCCTTTAAAAAGTGCTAAAAAAAGAACAAAATAAACTTCTTTGAAAACTGACCACTTATTTTTTACCTAACATAGGGCTGGTTTGTATGTGCAGATTCTTACCGTACATTTTATTTATGGTCTCATATGTCAGAAAAGTTTGTTTTATTAATCATATAGTATGCTGTAAGTATTCTTTGAGTTTTGAAAATGTCACATAATGCTGTTAAAATACACTTTGTTTGGTTTTCTGTTAGGTACATATATACGTATAATTTTTATTAATGCTTTATATGTGCCAGCATCTTAAAAAACAATATATAAATTTTTTTCATATTTTTAAGAACCTTTTGCTTCTGCCTTGTTTATACAGGCAGCCTCCAGGGAAATATTGAAATGAGGGTCTGCAACCAGTGATTATTTAGCTTAGAGATTAATCTTTTTTTTTTTTTTTTTTTTTTTTATTAACCAGTTAATTAGACAATAAAAGTGCTTAATATAGATTTTATTGCAGAATTTGAACCTGGTGAAGTTTAAATATGTGTCTAAACAGACATATTTACTGAAAGAATTTGTATCCACTTAAAGGAAAAAAATGTATGATATATATATATATATATATATTTGTATATGCCTTTAGCTTCATCATTGTCTTAAGGTGGTTGTCCTTTTAGCAAATTGTAAGTTTTGGAGTCTGTACTGCAATTTTCAAGTTCATTATTTCTAAATCAGTCCATTATTTAAAAATCCAATTAATCGGGTTGATTATTTAAATTATTTTGATTTTTCAATTTGTTTAAAGGGGAAGAGGGAATAACATGAGCACATAACGCTATCCTAAATAGTTCGAGCAAGAATTTCAAAATAATTATTTCCTCTGTAGGTCAGACTCTCATTTATTCCTCTTTTATTTGGAGGCTCAACTGAGCATTTTTGTATAAAATTTCCATGCCTTATCAATACCTCTAAGCTCTATCATATTTGACTAATTAATTAGAAATGAAATGATTCTATTCACTTCACAATTAGTTCCAAGCAAACAGGGGCAGTGTTATCTAGAAAAATCCGTGGCAGCCTGGTTTATCTTGTGATCAAGTGTAAATGAAGCTGTGCTGAAGATGGTAGTGGTTTTTCTTGTGCGATCATGTCTTCCTACGTGGTTGAAATCAAGTAAATATGCTGCAGGCATCACTATATGGTGAAAAAACTATCCTTTAGGATCTGTAATTTTCTTAGGGCAATAATTAGTTAAATGTGATGCCTTCAGCTAAAATAAGCCTGTTCTTAGATAATGAAAATGGCAGATTGAATCTGAAGTTGTCTCAATAAGGCCACAGAGGATGTACACCTTATTTGGTCTTATAAAGTAAAACCTAAAATCAGTTCTGAAAAAAAGGATTTCTTATTGTAAAGTATTTTAATGCATAATTTTCAATATGGCAGAGTCTGTGTACTACAAGTTTATTTTAGGATTTCTCTGCATACAAGCATATATGATGATTTTATTTTTTGTGAACCGTATAAGTTTCCATTCCTGTTTGGCAGAGCTGTGTCGTCCTTCATGGTTTGCTGTGAGACTGTCAGCAATAAAGAAGGCTAAGCAACAAACTTTCCTCCATAGCAACAAACTGTCAGGACCCCTTTTAGAGCCTGTTTTTCTCCCCAAGGTACTAAACACCCTCTCCATTTACAATAAGTCATCTGAGGCTCTCCTGGCAGAGCCAAGGAATGCCCCAGAAGAAGCCCTCGCACAAGGTGATTACCTCAGATGTCTAAAAGCTGCCCTGACGTGAGGTTGGGGGAATGTTAACGATTGCGCTGCATGTAATACTGTCTACCTTGCAGTCTCGGACTCCCAGTGGCCTCCAAAAGCAGACAAGTCATCACTACAATCATGAATTCCACTTTTTTTTCCTGCTAGGATTTTTTTTTTTTTTTTTTTTTTTTTTTTTTTTCTTTTGGTGGGAAACCTTAGCAAAATTCCATTAGCGAGTGGACAGTTTTATACAAGCGTAATCTGTGTTCCACAAGGCTGTCTAGACCATTGGCATTTAGTTTCATTCAGATAAGTTTGGGGTGACTGAGAGTTCAAGGAAGAGTAATGTGAGCTGTTTCAGGAAATAGTTAAAAGGTTGCTTCCTAAAACGCACACCGCATAAATTAGTCTTTTCTATCTCAAACTATTGGAATAGTTATTTGGCTTAAATCTTTAAGCAATAAAAGCTTTCTTTCAGAATTCAACAGAAATAATCACTCTTTTGAAATTTAGCAGTGGTTAAATAAGCCAACCAGAATAAGTGTTAACATTTGGTGTAAATATGTGATTTACCTGCGGTGTGATGTTGTAATGTGGGAATGAAAACTCACACAAACTCCCAATTTTACATTAAACACTCCAAATATCTATCCAAACTTGCTGTTTTTTATCACAACTTTTCTAATGCTGCTTTATTTGAAAACGCTGTTTTAATTTTTAGTGTGCTTATTGATTTTCTTGTTTATCTGCCATATTGATTCATTGAGCTACTCATGTAAAGCCCATTATATTACATTAAATATCTGTCAGCTTATATAATCTAATGAAATATAATTGGACCTGCCAATTATAAGATGGAAAATGGAGGACAGGCTTTGTGTACCTAAATAGGAAAGAAAATATGACACATGATCTGGAGAGGCTTTGCGTGAGATGAGTTTACAACAGGATGACATCTAAAAAGAATGAAACTTGTAGACTTCAGGCCTGAATCCAATAAAATGCTTTTGAACTATTAATATGGATTTCAAAGCAACAAAAAAGCGGCAAAACAAAATTACTTCAGACTAATTTTACATGATGACATAATGCTGTATTTTCCTATTTTAGCGAAAGATCGGATGGATTTGCTGTAACTGACTGGAGCAGAACCATGACCAAAATTTTCATCAATATTTGTTGACTAAAATATTAAAATAAAAACCATCTGAGAATATTTAATCCTTTAAGGTTTGTTCTGCTTAAGATAAATAGCTCACATTTAAATTCAATCGCTGAATTCAGAGGAAGCATTTTGGAAAAAAAATGTAATCCTTCTTGTTTTGCCTTGGGGTTGTGCTGACACGCTGTTCACCTGCGTTTTCTGATCTCGACAGGTGTAGCACACGCCTCTTTGCTTCCACACCCCTGCAGCTGTTACTATTGCAAAGCACTCTGGGTATGAAAATGGCGAAACGTGCCAGAAGATGGTTAGTGTCTGTTCTGACCTTGGAGGTAAGAATTAGCGGCAGGTTCGCTGCATGCATACGCAGGGGTGTTGGAGCACTTAAGTGTTTGGATGTAGGCACATGGCCTGTTTGATGACTGAGCAGGCCTGGTGCTTCCCTGTCAGCTCCCTCGCTGAGATGTTAGGAATGTTTTCAGTCATGGCTGAGCAGTATGTTAACAATTTAGTAGGAGGGAGGAAAATAAGGGAGCTAAAAGGGTTCAGATGGAGCAGTAGATGATGTCTGAATAAAGATTACCTTTTCACTCACTATCCTAGCGTGAAAGTGGAAAATTCCAGTGGTCATATAAAAAAAAAAAGCAGGGGATGGGCGTGTCTCGCCAGGGGAGTTAAGAATGGCAGCTTGCAGCTATCTGACTGACTGTTGAGCAATCAACAAAACAATCATGAGAGGTTTGAATGTGCTGCTGCAGAGAAAAGTGCAACACCGGGGACAATGAGGTTGTGAACTCAGACGAATAAGAGTGTGTCTGTTTATATTCACCTGTTCTGGTTCCCTGAAGTGGGGACCTTTGGCTTTCTGACCCACGCATAACCATCGACTCCCTTTCCACCCCATCACCCCCACCTAACCCCCCTCAACCCCCAGACCACGGTCTCAAGTTGGAGCAGATGTCAGCTGCTGCAGCTGCAGACCCACAGTGCTGTGCATCATTTCTTGTAAAAAGTTTAAGGAAGCATTCTGACTAGAAAAATAAAAACTGCCATCCAATACAACCAGTTCTACTGGGTCTTCTTTGACAAGAAAAAACCCTGACAAGAGGTGATCATTACCGGGATGAGTTGCTGTAATCAGCTTATCTTTTAATCTTGGTTATTTTTTAATGTTGAGCTTCTCTTATTTAGGTTTATAAAGGTCTTTAACCTTTTTATTGACCCTGTGCTGGTATCATTTCCATCCACGAAGTGGTGATATTTTTATTTGGAGTGTATGGCCTTAAGTTTTGAAGATCACCATTTTTTTTTTGCTCTCTTTAACGCTATGTTTTAAAATGTTCAACAGAAACTAGTAAGTCCAAGGTGAAGGAACAACAGTGGGCTTTAACGTCATGCTCCACACCAGCTTTGCATTTTGTACATTTCTATAAAGGCATTCTATTGCCAAATACATATCTGGCATATTAACTGCAACATTTTAATTTTGCATTGATAGACAATTTGCTAGAAATTATGGCATTTTAAAAAGTCAGTCTATGTCTTTTGACAGCATAGGTGTATGTTAAAATACTCAATTTAGCCCAGAGGGCCCGCTGTTTTCTAAATCTGGCCCTGATCACATATCTGTCAGATGTTGTGTAAAGAGAATAAATTAATTAAATATATAGTTTTGTATATCATATATACTGGATTGTTTTTCTTTTAATACCTAATTGTAAAAATACAATTCAGTCTTGTGTTTGTCAGTATACAGTAGAGTAACTGACATTTTAGTGAAAATCTTTACACCTCAGTGATGCAATGTTTACTCTTTCTTCTCCAGCAACATAAGATTGAGTGTGAGGGTTGGGTGGGGGTTGAACAGGCGTTATTCTTTCCCTGCCACCCTCTGCTTCGATGGTCAGCAGCAGGTGCTGTTGTCCGTTAGCTGTGGGGTCACACTGAGGTGCTGTTTTGGGAAAAGAGGCTGCCTTGCTGCCAGGTGGCAGTTGTTGGCAGAAACAGTTATGGCTTTGTGCTCTCTCCACGAGCCCCTGCCCTTTTCAGCTGCCATTTCTTCCCCCCTTTATACCCCATGAACCACCCTTCCACCCCAGCCTGATGAGGTTCACTCCAGCTCTAACCCTGTTTCTCCCAGAGCTGGAGGTCCATTTGAGCATGTGTACACTCAGCCAAGCTCTGTGTCTGTAGGCCCAATCAGACTGGCCAGCACAGATGTGACAGGCTTTCAGGAATGTGAGGAATGCGGAGGCGCTGAAGCGGGTGTGTCCATCCTTGGCCTGGGGCAGCAGGGGGAGGGGCTTCCTCAGTATCGGCAGATGGCTCAGCTCTGCTTTGCTGGCCGACTGTCGGACTGACTGGTTGGTTTGTACGATGAGTGCTCTAAGCCTGCTGAAGATGGTTTGCGGTACTTTTATGGTAATTGCAATAAGCAGTGCCTTCTAGAGGCCAAATACAAGATGTTTCTCCTGTCATTATGCATCTAGAAAGCTGTTAAACGCCTTGGGTTTAAAAAGGCACGTCTTGACCAGTTTTGTCAGCATAATTTTCTGTCAGCAAATTTAGAAGCATTATTTCTAATGATATGGTGGTTCAGCCTCTCGTTTCAGTCCAATTTCCACAAAAACCCAATAAGCGTGACTTGGCAGATAAGAACCTTAAAGTCCTCTGCTCTCAGTTTCCTTTAAGGCAATATCTGGCAGCGTTTTGTTTTGTCCATTCACCACCAAGGATTTCCATTTGATAAAACCTAGTTTGCTCTAAAACCATGCGCACAGAACAAACTATACCCTGGATTACAGGGCTTTCAACTGCACAAGGTGTTGAATTTCCAGTAGTCTTAAAAAGACTTTAAAGGTTATGTCTTAGAAAAACCTGGTTCTGTTTTCTAAGGAATGTTTGAAAGTAGTTTGTATGGCAATGTGACACTAGTGAATGTTAAATAAGTAAATCAAAACATAAAGACAAAAAGAAATGAACCCAAGTATTTGTACTGATTAATGAGATGACATGTAACAGGAGACAATGGCTGGATTGTTAATCTTAACAACTGTTTTCAAGATGAACTCTGGGGCACAGCTTTCCTTTTCAGATTAAGAGAACAGCGCCATCTGCTGTCCGATTTGGGATATACTGAGAAATGGTTTAGTACTTGCTGTTCTTTCTTTAAATTTTATTTCTTTTTTCGCTTTTTTTCATAGGTCGCAATGAGTTGATAGCAAGGTACATCAAGCTGAGGACAGGCAAAACCCGCACAAGAAAGCAGGTAAACTAGTGCTTACAAAGAAAAAAAAAACCAAAACACATGCATGATTTTTATAAGATTGTCTATGCTACTGTAAACCAGTTCACAAAGAGACCGATTAGTTTGATCAATACCTGTCAAAAATGTTAAAGAATAAGTCTGGTTTTATTTTATGATTTTTATTTTATTTTTTTTTCAAAAAAGTAAAATAGTCCCTTGGATCGAAAATAACTAGTTATCAAATATAGTCCTTTTTCCACAAAAAAAACTGTTTAGCGGTTTCCTTAAAAACAAATTATGTATCAGCCATGAAATAAACTGTACAGACTATACAGTAGGAGTAGGTATTTTTTGCCATCTTATTTTAATTTAAACTCCTCCAAACTGGAGTTTCACTAATACAAGTTTTTTTAGGCCAACTTGTGCCGATCCCTGATCTGTGCTGCTGATTTTTGGGACAAGGTTCTTTTGGCCAATATTGCTTTCTTTTCCTTTATTTACATGATTAAGAATGACACAATGATAAAAAATTTTACCAAAGTACCAATAAAAAAGAAACATTTATTAATAAATTCAAGAAAATTGTATCATTTTATTTAGAATAGAATATAATAGAACATCCATTTATTGTGAAACAGTAGGAAAATGTGGACCTTAAAGGTGTATAAAAAATAACAATATACACTCACCGGCCACTTTATTAGGTACACCTGTCCAACTGCTCGTTAACACTTAATTTCTAAGCAGCCAATCACATGGCAGCAACTCAGTGCATTTAGGCATGTAGACATGGTCAAGACAATCTCCTGCAGTTCAAAGCGAGCATCAGTATGGGGAAGAAAGGTGATTTGAGTGACTTTAAACGTGGCATGATTGTTGGTGCCAGAAGGGCTGGTCTGAGTATTTCAGAAACTGCTGATCTACTGGGATTTTCACGCACAACCATCTCTAGGGTTTACAGAGAATGGTCCGAAAAAGAAAAAACATCCAGTGAGCGGCAGTTCTGTGGGCGGAAATGCCTTGTTGATGCCAGAGGTCAGAGGAGAATGGCCAGACTGGTTCGAGCTGATAGAAGGGCAACAGTGACTCAAATAACCACCCGCTACAACCAAGGTGGGCAGAAGAGCATCTCTGAACGCACAGTACGTCCAACTTTGAGGCAGATGGGCTACAGAAGCAGAAGACCACACCGGGTGCCACTCCTTTCAGCTAAGAACAGGAAACTGAGGCTACAATTTGCACAAGCTCATCGAAATTGGTCAATAGAAGATTGGAAAAACGTTGTCTGGTCTGATGAGTCTCGATTTCTGCTGCGACATTCGGAGGGTAGGGTCAGAATTTGGCGTCTACAACATGAAAGCATGGATCCATCCTGCCTTGTATCAACGGTTCAGGCTGGTGGTGGTGGTGTCATGGTGTGGGGAATATTTTCTTGGCACTCTTTGGGCCCCTTGGTACCAATAGAGCATCGTTGCAACGCCACAGCCTACCTGAGTATTGTTGCTGACCATGTCCATCCCTTTATGACCACAATGTACCCAACTTCTGATGGCTACTTTCAGCAGGATAATGTGCCATGTCATAAAGCTGGAATCATCTCAGACTGGTTTCTTGAACATGACAATGAGTTCACTGTACTCAAATGGCCTCCACAGTCACCAGATCTCAATCCCAATAGAGCATCTTTGGGATGTGGTGGAACGGGAGATTCGCATCATGGATGTGCAGCCGACAAATCTGCGGCAACTGTGTGATGCCATCATGTCAATATGGACCAAACTCCCTGAGGAATGCTTCCAGCACCTTGTTGAATCTATGCCACCAAGAATTGAGGCAGTTCTGAAGGCAAAAGGGGGTCCAACCCGTTACTAGCATGGGGTACCTAATAAAGTGGCAGGTGAGTGTATGTGGCAGAGATAAACAAACAAAATAAAATATTGTACTTTACAGTGTTTTTACAATTTACTATACATTTTATCAATATATAGCTGTGGACATTTTTACAGTAGTGGATATGGAAACACCAGAGATGTGCAAAATGACAGAATGTGTTTTTTAACTGACCAAGACAAAAATGAAAAGTATGAAAGTATGCAAATAATTATGAATGTAACAACTTATTGAGGTTTTTGGGAACAGCAGTGGTTATAGAGTCTTACAGCTGCTGGAAGGAAGTATCTGTGATAATGCTCCCTGGTGCATTTAGGGTGCCGCAGTTTATCACTGAAGGAGCTCTCCAGTTCAGCATGCAGAATATAAAAGACAAAATATTGTCTGACTGTCGTATTGGTCTTTTTGTTCCACAAACAAATTAAAGAAAATATTAACAATGGATAGCAAGCGGAGTGAGCAGCGATACATATATTTTACTTGATTTAATGACATGGCTACTGAATGTGCTAATGAATCAGCAAATGTATGTACGTATCAGTTGATATTAATGCAAATCTCCCCCTCAATTATATGGGCCAAAAATATTTTCTAGTGGCTGTATCGGTCTATCTGTACTCTAAACTACATTTTTTTATTTATTTAATGGTTTTAAATTTGATATTTGTTTTTCTGTCGGTCGGATCCCATGCATATAACCCACAATACTTGCTGTTGATAATGATAAAATTTAAAAAAATAAGACAAAATTACTGCCTTTAATGTTGTTAAACTTACCTAAGGTTCTAAACTCTAAATGACTATTCACTTAAACTGTGCAGCTTTATCCAGGAGTATTTGATTTTTTTATTGGTAATTCAAGACATTTACGCATTAAGGTTTGCTTTTTCTTTCTTTTTTTTGCAGAAGCATTTACTGTATCGTAACACCAGATTTAGCTCAGAATTTCAGAGCAATAACTTCTTCACACTTTTTTTCCAATTAGCACCATAAATACTTCTCTGCTGATGCTGTGTTATGTTTGTGTATTATCAGCATTATGATTCAGATAATTAACTGCCAGTTTAACTTAAAGCTAATCTAATAAATGGTATTTTATGATCTGTATCCTTTAAATTTAGCTTTCATTGTTTTCAGAAATCTTCTGCCCTATGAATATTTATGTTGTTCCTGTAAATAAGTGTATACCCTCTACATGTGTGCACATGCATGTTTTGTGTGTGTGTGTGTGTGTGTGTGTAAGTAGGAATTTGAGTGCATGTTATTTATTTCCTGAAAACTGTTTCACACCCTTGTAGGTGTCTAGTCACATACAGGTGTTAGCACGGAAGAAAGTTCGTGAATACCAGGCGGGTATAAAGGTAGGTGCCGCCGGCCTGCCTCCCGGCAACACTGACTGGGCGTCTCTTTCCTCTTTGGTTACGGCTTCTCCCTTTCTTCCCTGTGTCCTTTCTCTCCCTGTCTTCTTTCCTCTTCCCTCCTTTTGGCTATTCTTCTGTGCAGGTTTCTAGCCACTTGCAGGTTCTCGCCCGGAGAAAATCTCGCGAGATCCAGTCAAAGCTAAAGGTATGCGCTTCACCTCAGCAGGGCTGGTACACGCTTAGCTTTGCGCTAATTCAGCTAATTTGGGAATCTGATTATCAATCGTTGCTTTAATGTAAGGCCATTCTTTGCCAAATAAGCAGATGCATGATTGCTGTGAACAAAACCATTGATTTATATTTTAAAGTTTGCTAGTCTTGCTTTTTGCATGCAATACACCCACACACAGAGGTCTGTTAGTCTGAGATTCATATAGCATTGAGCAGGGTTCTTAAAATCAAGCTGTAATGTTTGCAACTGCAGTCTCTGCTTTACATAAGCATGTACTGCAAAAAGCTGGTATAAAGAAAATCAACTTAGCTGCATGTTGCTCCAGCTCTGTCTCTTTTCCTCTGCAGCTTACCGAACTCTTCTTACTACTTCTTACTACTTTTTCTTTCTATTTTCTTCTCCTTTTACTTTTCTACAGTTTCTACTGTATTTTTTCTGTTTTTAAGGTATTTTGTAATACTCAGTATAAGGTTAATCTTTTAAACTAGTTGTTGCATTTCTTATTGGCTTGTCTTATTCAAATTCCTCTGGACTTTCCATGCTTTTTAAATAATTTTTACATATTCACAATGAAATAATTAATCCACCTGTATTTCTTCGACATATTACACAACTATTTTCTATGGAGCAAACATTTGATTAATTTAAAATCCCTAAGATCACTCAATCTCCAAAGTAGTAATTCCCAAAGCTGGGATTGGGTTCCCCCATGTGGTTCATTGAAGAAAAACAGTTGGGCTTTATGGGGATAACCATTCAACTAACATTTTTGCAGTTAAAGTAACTAGAGATAAAATAGGTAGTCATATATTTAGAGATGGCCATGTGTAGGCTGTGTCCTGTTAATGTCTGCACAAACTGTCACGATGGTTTGTAGTTTATTGACCCAGATGCAGATTCACACAGAGAACTAGTGAATTTTAAGGTTTCATTTATAAAAGAAACAAGAATCTGGAAGCGGAGAACTGCAGGAAGTCAGTTGAAATTTCTGGTTGGTCTGAGGGGCGAATTTAGTCTGATCAGGAAGTAGTTGGTTGATGATAAATGATGGCAGATTGATTTGCCCACTTGAGAGATGAAGGGGAGGTAACATGAATCTGAAGGGGTTTTATTCAGTGGGCTTTGCAGACTGTACCCCAGAGGTCCAGGAGAATGTGATTGAGATCAGAGAGTGTTGGTACTTGAAAGAAATGATGTGCTGGAAAGCAGGCAGGCAGATGATTAAGGTTGAGAACTGCTGCACACAGGTCAGACCTTTTCCATGAAGATAAGAGATGAACTGAGGCTTACTGGTTGCCTGTAACAATAACAGAGTACACATTAAAAGAGATTCACAAGAAGACATGTTTCACCAAAAAGGATATTCCTGGTTTAGATCTTTGGCAGGAATACCATCAGGGCGTAATCATCCAGGGAAGAGAGATGATCCTTTACCTCCGTATATACATGCTATTCATCCTGATTGAGAAATATTCTCAAGTGTGCAGCAACACGGGTCAGCTCAGGCATCAGCAAAGATCCTCTCTGTGACAGGAAGGAGCGATCCAAGTCCTTTCCTCAGACTCATAACCCTCCCAATTGACCGGCGATGAGCATCCAAAATCCTTCATACAGTGAAGGCTGGGTGCCCACCAATGTCTGGGTGGGTGTCGGCTTACTGGAAACAGGGCAAAGAGGACTAGACGGGACAGGTTTGATCAGAGATACATAAAAAGCAGGTTGAATTGTTAAATGATCTGACAGATTGAGGTGAACCACAGACAGACTGAGCACTGCCTGGATTTAAAATGGGCCGATTAATCCAAAAGTACCACCTTAGATGGTGGTAGTCCAGTTAAGAAATCCAAGGCGATATGTGACCATGGACATTTACTGTAGGGGGGTAATGGTTGTAGAAGACCACTGGGGGGCGAGTAACTTGCTTTGTTTGGGCACATACTAGACAGACTTGAACATCCTTACATGTAGGCCACCAGATATGTAATTTATGGAGTGTGAGAGTCCAGTCGATTCCAGGATGGCAGGAGAATTTTGCCATTGGCCCAGTGAGTGAGGCAGGACCTAATGGAAGAAAAATCATATACCTGTTTCATTGATCCAATTCCAGCATCTGGTTTGGACTGCTGAGCCTCCAGGACCTCTTCATTTATTGCCCACAATAACGCCCTCACAGAGCAGGAAGGTTGAATGACGGTTGAGATATTGGGTTCCTTGTCATTGGGGTATTGCCTAGACATGGCAATGGTTTTTTGTTTTTAGAGCCTGGAAGAGTCAGATGGTAGTGAACAATCAGGAAGATGAGATTGTGGAAGAGGTAAAGCTCCCTCTCAAAATCTGTTGTCCAGGTGAATAGGCAGGGAGGTTAGTTTTAGACTCCTCTCTGCTCACGTTTATCCTTAAAGGAATAGTACACCCAAAACATGATTAGCCTTCATTTTCTACTCACCCCATTGCTGAACAACACTCTGGAGTACTTTTTTGATATCTCAAATGCATCTGGAGATCTGGGAGGCTTCTTGCTGTCTGCTGACATTCAAATAATGGAGGTCTATGGTGCCCGAGGCAGAAAGGTCCATAAAAGTCCACAAAAAACGTGTCAATATTCCTCCATACTGCTCGTCCAATGTATTCCAAGTGTCCTGAGTGGGTAGCGTCCATAATTTACTCGAAACTAAGTCATTTAGAATGTTTTTAGAGCATAAACAGTAGTGTATAGGATTTCCTGAAAGCGCGCGCTTGCGCGTTCACGACGCTACGGAAGCCGGCAGACCAAACCAGATGAAAGTGCGCATTCAGCGTCTGCTCTGCCGATAATGCAAGCGTAGAAGAATAATGTGCTGTTTACCTGTGCAAAGAAAGAAACAACGAAAGAAAAATGTCTGAGGACTTCAGTGTTGAGGAAGAGCATGAGTTCTTTGCCGAGCTGAATGCGCACTTTCATCCGGTTTGGTCTGCCGCGGTTTCCGAAGCGGCGTGAACTCGTTGGCGCGCGCTTTCAGGAAATCCTATACACTACTGTTTATGCTCTAAAAACATTCTAAATGACTTCGTTTCGAGTAAATTCTGGATGCTACCCACTCAGGACACTTGGAATACATTGGACGAGCAGTATGGAGGAATATTGACACGTTTTTTGTGGACTTTTATGGACCTTTCTGCCTCGGGCACCTCAGACCTCCATTATTTGAATGTCAGCAGACAGCAAGAAGCCTCCCAGATCTCCAGATGCATTTGAGATATCAAAAAAGTACTCCAGAGTGTTGTTCAGCATGGGGGTGAGTAGAAAATGAAGGCTAATCATGTTTTGGGTGTACTATTCCTTTAATTCTTTCATCTAAGACTTGAAGAAAAACTCCCTTTAACGCTTCAGGGTTCCAGGCTGAAGAGGCTGCTAAAGTTCAAAACTTAATGGTAAAGTCTGATACTGGCTTGTCACCCTATTTCAATTTCAACGTCTTACAGGAAATGTAAGAAACTGACTAGGTATATCCGAATGTCTGTTTGAACTCAGAGATAAACTGGTCAAATTTGGAATTGAAACTCACCGCCAAATCTTGCTTCAGTTCTCTGCAGAGCTCGACTTCTCAATATTCCAATCATGAATGAGATTATGTCCTTATCAAACCAAAAAGACATTGGGGATCGACTGAAAACTAGTGAACATTGTAACAGAAATCCACAACAACTTCCAATTTCACCCGCAAAAGGCTCTCGTTTGGGGAGTTTGGCAAAATGAAAATGAGAACTCCAAATGGTGGTTGTGCTGGCTGTAGAGGGGGTAAACCCCACGGGAGTGGTTCTGTTATGCCCCTCCTTTAACATTTCTGTAAACTGCTCCATCTGCTGATCGGAATGTCTTTGCCATGCAGCCAAAGAGTGGGTTAACTGTTTGTGGTGATGAATTCATTCACGTTCAGTGCAAGAACCTGAGGGAGATTTCTCTGAGTAAGACAAGCCGGATGACTAAGTCAGGATGATTTGGAGTTTTTTTGATCCACATGGACAATCACATGCAGACCAGTTAATTTAACATTTTATTCACGGTCTGTCATTAAATTAAACTAACTATAAACTATATGCAAAGTTAACACAGTTAAATCACTTACTTAACTTTTTAAATTAAATTTTCCTTATATGTTTTAAAGTTGTTTTTTTCCATACATGTCATTAAAATTGCACGACATGTAAGATAAGTTTTCCTCAATAACAATAAATTACCATAAATGCCAAATAGGCTCCATTATCCTTTCAACCTTGCAAAATTTCATTTAAAATAATTTCAGTTTTTATAACAACAAGTCTGTAATTCATAATCTGTCTAAACAGTGTCTGTAACTGTCTAAATCTGTGCAGTCACAGCTGCAAACTGCAATCGTTTTCCTTTTCTCCCTTGTGCATCACAATACTAGTGTCATTCGAACTTGTCCCAAAGGGAGCTAACATCTGCAAAAACTCTGCTATGCTCCTTTAGGTCAGTAATGAGACAGTAAGACATTGTTCCATATAAATAATTGGCATATCTCACTTTTAGCTTTTTGAATGAAAAAAAAATACAATACATATTTTGCTTTCAAAAAATACCACACAACTGTGGTTTAGTAATTTATCGGCAGATTGTCGGTTATGGTTGTTTAGGTGAACAATACATTTACACATAACTCGGCAATTTCACACTGACCTTAGAGTTAAAAGCACTGTCAGTTTTATATGTCTTAGAAGACAGCATCAAAACATTATACAGAAGTGCACAATACTAATGGTTTCTCTCTTTTTTGATTCAGGCGATGAATTTGGTAAGTGAAACTGCCTTCTGTAATATGCTTCCCTGCTCCCTTTTGTTTGGCAATACTAGTGCACTATCCCTTTGCTACGACCCTCTCTAGATATGGGTCCCACCCCATTGCTATCCCGTTTATAAGGCAACCTTTAAGCAAAAAGTTCTTAACACAGCACTGCTGATGTAGCATTCTCGCCCCTCAGCCTTTGCCAGAAATCAAACCCCCTGCTTGCTTTGCATTAGGTGTTGTTCTCTACACAGGGTCTTACTTCTTAGGTATCTTTCTTTCACATAGTCAGAGATAAGATTCCAAAAGTTGACAATTTTACAATCTAAAATGGAAAAAAATGTATAAAAAAGCATATGTATATTTAAAAGTCTTTTGACGTACTTCCTTAAATCCCAAACTTTGGTTTTATACTCTTTCAAAATGAGTAACAGCTTCAGGACGTTTGCATTTAGATTGAATGGCTTTAGACATTTTTAGCTACCTTTCTTTATTCCTGGGTTTTGCAATCACTTGGATCCACTTTAAATCACTGTACTCCTTTTTTCTTGTAATTTCCTTAATAACATACTGACCATCTACTGTATAATCAGATCAACGCTGCTTCATCTCTCTGTCCTTCACTCTGTTTCATTCTGACAGCTGCTCTTTAATCAGAACTGCATAGTGTTACTGCTAGGCTAACATATTTCCAGCTGACAGCTAGATTAGTTATTTTGAAATAATTGTCAAACATTCAGCCCTGATGTTCTTGAGACAGGTCATACAACTATTTCTCTATTATTTTTCTGTTGCTTTTCAGGATCAAGCTTCCAAAGACAAAGCCCTTCAGAACATGGCTGCCCTGTCATCTGCACAGATTGTTTCACCAAGTATGATAAAGAATCACCTTCCTCCTCTGTCTCCTGCCCCATACCAACCACCGCGAGTGAGTAGATTAATAAAAAAGAAATAACTGCATTAAAACAGATTTTATCGCAGTTAAAAGAATTATTTAAAAACAAAACATAAAACCCTTTTCTGTCTCTCTCTCTCCAGTTCTGGACAGCTCAAATCCCAGTACAGCCAGGACCATCTCAGGAGTAAGTAAACACAGAAATCAGGAATACTTGGTACAACAAATAAATCTAAAAAAAAATATAATTGAGTGAATCAGTGATGAGGTTATGGTTTATGTCAGGTGGGTATTGCATTTTTTTTTTTTTTTACCTAATAACATTTTTCAACACTAGGATGATTCTAGATGTCAACCCGGGAAGGACTCCTGGGCCCATCTGCACCAGCCATGTGTAAGTTCTCCTTAGAAAAGATCTGATTTTAATCCCAAAACAGCACCAAATCCTCCTGAAGAACTGTATTTTTTTTGTTTCACTTTTGTTGAATTTACCTTGACAAAGTTATTGAAGTGACTAAATGTGATTGAAAGATGGGAAAACAAAATTAAATTCTTGATATGGATTAGTGTATAAAAAGTACCAAAACCATTAACTGGTTTTCTGGGATTTGTCAGGAAAGTATTAACTGGTGCTGTTTTGTACTATTATGTAGCACTGAAGGTGAACTTAACGCTTAGCTGGTGCAGCAACACATTATTTTATTCTAGTTCAAATTGATAGCTTAGTACAATAAGAGATACAAAGTTGGAAGTATTGCTACAAACATCTGATAAGATTTTTGTCTGACTGGGTCATTTATTGTCTTCCAGCATTAAACCTTTTGTACAGCCCCCATACTCAACCCTACCAGGACCTGTACAACAGCCCATACCATGTAGGTGACATAGAATTGTTGAAAGTGTTTTATTTTTATTTGTTTTGTCATTGTTATTAAAATTTGTATTTTGTTTTTAAACCTGTGTCTTTGCCCAGCCTATGAGCCCTTGGCGCCCCCTCCTGCACCATCAGCGACTGCAGTTCCAGTGTGGCAAGATCGGACAATCGCTTCATCTAAACTGCGAATGCTGGAGTACTCAGCCTTCATGGAGGTGCCGAGAGACATGGACAACGTAAGCTGAAGCTTGCACTGCCATAGTCTTAACAAACATACAACATGTGGTGATCATAGGAGATCATACAACATTTTGGTGGCTTAAATGAGATACTTAAGACTTGGGAGTAGCCAGATCGATATGATACTGAGTTGAGTTCTACTTTATCAGTGTTGGATGACTGCCGTTGTGGCTTTTCATGAAAAGGAGAGACGTTTAGTACAATACTTTGAGCTGATTGGGTGACGTGCCAACTAGTACCCACCTTACATAACACACTTTCATCCAATCGTAGCAGTGAATCGTGACATTTCAGTGGATTAAGCGGATAAATTAAACTTTTCCCAAATTCTGACGGAAGAACAAAGCAGACATCTTTCATCATCATCTACAAATGCACAAAGTTCTTCTCTTTGCTCCTTTTTTAAATAAGAAATTGTTAATCTATTTTAGCTAAAATTGAGTCAATTGTGGTAGTGACAGGTGAGTCCTCCAACGTAGCCATGTTTTTAAGGCCCTTCTGACTGTCATCATTCCTACATGTCCCGCCCCAAAAAACACAGCTGGAATGCCATTGGTGTGACTCGCTGGTTATTACGAGATGCACGTATTAGCTGGAGTATTTGAAGATGTATTTGTTGTTACACTCTGCATCACCCTTTTAAACATCATATTTAGACTACATGGAAAATTTACAAATCACTTTAAATAGAACTCACCTCAATGTTTCTACTGCATTTTGCCCGATATTCTTCTGATCACTGCTGCACTTAATAAATGGAAATCCTCATTTCACTGCTGTAAGCTGCTCATTCACTGTTGTAAAGCTGTTTGCGTCGAAATAAGTCTAAGAGACTGAAAACTCAGATCTCGTGACAATTCAGCTTGCAGCACAAGGTTAACTTAAACGTACTTAAACGCTAATTGTGCTTTGGTGTGACTCAATCAAAATTAACTTTTTGTTTAATTGTATGTGGATACAGAAATTAGCTTTATTTTAATTTAGATGGAAAGAAAAGGTCCCTGGAAGCTTATTAGGTTTCTACATCATTTGACTTTCTTTCTATGGTTCTTGCCGAAATGTTATGTTGTTCTGAAGTTTTTAACTGACATTTGCAAACCTCTGGTCTCTACCCACTGCAGTACAGCAAGCACCTGTTCGTCCACATTGGACAGACAAATCCCTCCTACAGTGACCCACTGCTTGAGGCTGTGGAAATCCGACAGATCTACGACAAGTTCCCCGAAAAAAAAGGCGGACTCAAAGAACTTTACGAGAAAGGACCTCAGAATGCTTTCTTCCTCGTCAAGTTCTGGGTGGGTTTCTATGTTTCTTAGTCTACTGCTTAAAACACTCCCTTTCACAGAAATAGGCAGTAGGGATGGGTATTTATCGTTTCATTTATCGTGTTCATGATACATTTCTAGTCATGACAAGAATTCTGATTCAATGTTTAAACAATAAATTAGAATTAGTAATGATAAAAATCTCAGAAAATGGGTGAATTGTGATTTTTTTGTATCATTTTTCTTCTTTCATTTTTTCTTCCTTTGGGGTATTGAATATTTGAAGAATAGGCTTAAATGTGATTATCATGGGATGTTTAGTGATATAAATTACTCTTCTTTATATAATCGGTGTCTTGAAGAATAGTTTTTGTGATTGTGGGGCTATGATTACTGAGACATTCATCTACAGCTATATAGTTACCTAAGAGCGACTTCAAACATTTATTGAAGAGTGTTTTATTTGTCACTTTTATTAGATAGTACTACAAAATATTGTAAAACAATTTTAAGGGCACAGTTCCCAGCCCTAATTGGCAGCCCTAGTAAATATGTGTTACTTGTCACTAAAAATAATATTTTGATGCAGTTGCTTAGTCTCATACTAAACGGAAATTGAAAACTCAAACCTTCCATTTAAGTTTATATATTTAGGGTGACGATTCAATATAGAAATTGTGTTTTTATCTTTGATTCTACTTTTTTGGCATATCTGTATTCTTAGATCTACCATACATAAACAAACCTTTGTTATTGGTGTGGTATACCACCCGAAGAATATTAGTGGCCCTCATATGGCCTTTATCTAAAAACTGGAGGCTCCCGTGCAACTATTATTGCAACCTCTCATGTTCCTATATAATAAAAGCTACTGAAACACCTAATTAGGACTTTTACTATTTAGTTTGAATTAAGTGTCCATAAACATGTAATTTGCTATAAATATTTTCCTATTCTAGGAATAAAAATACAAGTTTTTGCAGAGGTCAATTTCAAATCCAAATTTTTAAGTTAGGTATCATATGTTTTGCTCTACAAAAAAAAGAAACACTAAACAACAGCTACTAAGCAAACAATGCCCAAATCCACAATTAGAGCAGTAATGAAAAGGTTCAAACAATTGGAATGATGACTAAGCTTATTTTACCAAATAGTTAAGATGATAGTAGAATAGGTTAAAAAAAAAGCAGAAGAATCTCCAAATCTTCTGCTGATGATGGTAATACAACAACAACTATGTATATATTTCATCCATCCTTGTCAGGGAAAACTAAAGATTGTGTTAGATGTTTTAGCTTCAATTCTTGTTTGTTCTTTTACCACCGTTTGATGTAACCTTCATGATTGCAGCACTATATGGCATATTTTTCCTTAGATGGGTTTTCCAATATACTCTGTAATTTCTTCTACTTGTAATTGGTTTAATGCATAATTTAGTTGCAGGCAATGTATTTTTTTTTCCCCAACACATTGATGCCTGTTTAATCGAACTGTTCAATGAGTGCTTTTGTCATGCTTTGAATCAGATCATCAGGCTGACATTTTTTCGCTCTCTCCAGGCTGACCTGAACAGCGGCGGGATGCTGGATGAGCCGGGTTCATTCTACGGTGTAAGCAGCCAGTACAGCAGCATGGAGAACATGACTATAACAGTTTCAACTAAAGTCTGCTCATTCGGCAAACAGGTGGTAGAGAAAGTTGAGGTAAGAAGGTGCTTTTGAAACTTGTTTTAACAGATATATTTGATACAGTCTCATACACAATTTTTCTTTTTTTCTCGCTCTGGTAAATGTTACAGACAGAGTACGCCCGCATGGAGGGGGGGAAGTATGTTTACAGGATCCACCGCTCTCCTATGTGTGAATACATGATCAACTTTATCCACAAACTCAAACACTTACCTGAAAAGTACATGATGAATAGCGTTCTTGAAAACTTCACTATCCTACAGGTAAAATGCACTTTATTTTAAATAACCCCTACAAATTTGAACTGAAAACAATCATGTTTTTAATAAACGTATTTGAACCCTGTCAGGTGGTGACGAACCGTGACACCCAGGAGACCCTGCTCTGTATAGCGTTTGTTTTTGAGGTTTCCAATAGTGAACATGGAGCGCAGTATCATGTCTACAGACTTGTAAAAGACTAACAGCTCGTAAAGATGGTTCCGGAAAAAACAGACTCAGCGCGACGCAATCTCTCTACAACCACCTCAACCTTCCAGGAAAAAAAAATAAAAGACCACAGAAACCTTCAAAAATGCGACAAAAGACTAACATGGACACAGTTTATGCTTTAAGTACGTGAGGGGAAAAAAATAAACATCAGACATGCCAACATGGAACAAAATTGTGAAGAACTTTGGATAGAGAGCTGTTTTTTTTTATGTGATTAAACAAGATGAAGTGGGTCACTTAGTGTTTGATGAAGATTGCCACGTTTAATTTAGGGATGAAGAATGTGTTTGAGGTTGAAAGGCTCCCTGCGTTAGCAGAGAAATGCATATGGCCTGAAATGTGGAGAGATTTGGACCAGAGAACAGGAAGAAATGGTGGAAAGTTGTTTCGGTTTGTTCGTACAGCAAGTGCCTTTTTCTAACTAAAGGTTTTACCATTGCCTGCCACTTTGGATTGCCTTTTTTTCTTTTTTTTTTTTACTACCTCTTGTTTTTGAATGAACAAAAGACGTTCATACTGGTGTGTTTTGTTACAAAAAATATCGAAAACCTGATCGACATCTGTGAGGGCAGAGGGGCACAGAGGAATGGGATAACTAATTTTCATGTTGCCTAATTTACAAACTATGAAAGAAAAAAAGAAAGTGTAAACAAAATGTTTAACAGTCCATCTGTAACAGGGGAATACTGATACTGTTGCTGTGTTATTGTAGTTCTGCGTATGTTTTTAGATCTTAACACAGTTTAAAATCAGGTCTTACTAGAAACTAGCTGTTACTGACGTCCAACTCTAGGGATGTCTTGTATCTTTGCAATTGTGACAGGAATCCAGTGCTTTGCCTTCCTTGTGAGATCCCTGTTATTTCCTGCTGTTTGAAGACGTGTGCTCAGATGCACTTATTGAAAAAACAAAAACAAAAGATCATGTTAGAGGGAGGGGTGGGGGGGAGGGAGGGGGAAGGGGCCAACAACAGCAGTGCTTATTTTCTGACTTGAGTTATGTAGCATAATTGAATTGTTTCTTTCTGTACTGTGATTCAGTGGATATTAAAGGAATATGTGTTACATAGGAGGTTTTTTTTTTTTTTTTTGGGGGGGGGGGGGTGATTTCTGATGACATTTGTGATCATGTAACTCAACACAGAGGCCATGGTTAAAAGGGGAGAAGTTATTCACTGTTTCTTTTGTTTAAAAAAGAGATTGTATGCTGTGAAGTTGGATTATTTGCTTCACTCTTCTCCATGTAACGTGTGGAGAGGCTGCATTCACTGATTAAAAAGTTCAGTTGTTTATTTAAGACATTTTTACATTCAAAATAATTATGAATTCAATTCAAATGATGATTTGATGAAAGACAACTATTGGATTATGAGTACTGATTGTTATTTATGGGAATGGAGGAGGTTAAGCGAAGGGCAGGGCGGAGTTTTTTCTAAACATTTTAACTTTTCCATTGTGAAAAAGGTGTTTAAAGTTCTGGCAGAAGTTTTATTTGAGACAGAATTTACTTTTGACTCCATCAGTTCTGTGAGGTCCACTGGAAAACATTACTGTAAGAGAGCAAAATTCAAATATATCTATGACCCTGGATGTCAAGCTTCGCAGCCTAGATACAAATAACGCTTCTCTTTTTGCGGGTCTTACGGTTTATCTTTTATACATACATTTTCAGCCATCATCAAAGTTAATGTTTTGATTCTGTTGTCCTGACTTTCAGTGTTTGCTGTATGTTACACTGAAAATAATGTGTGATTGTGCTGGTATTGAAAAAAACTGAGTTATCTAATGTATCAAATTTGGAATGGTGTGGGAAATTTCTCTATGTCTTTGGTTTAAAGTGGTTTACTATTGTCTTTGTTACAATTGTGCATTGCAATTTTATACTTAAAAGTAGTGGTTGGACTATGTAATCAAAAAATTTATCTAACAACACAGGACGCATGGTGCCTTTGGGGCCATTTTCCCCAGAAAACTCATTAAATTTATGTTAATTTGTTTTGCCTATGGTGGTTCTTTTTTACTTCTTAAAAAATAAATGTAAAAATGTTGGGTGAGTAAAACTGTTTACTACTGAAAGAGTCTAACGTTTCCACATAGAAATGGAGGAAAATTAACCATTTTAGCAAAGATTAGAGTGGATATTTAATTGGATTTATGGCCGTTTTGCATTCACGTAGAAAAAAGATTTTTTTTCTAGCTTAACAAGATAATTTTTACAAAATCAAATAAAAACATGTTTTTTTTCTGAATCAATATCATTTAAAACAAACAAAAATCTGAATTAACATGATTTAAAACAAACAAAAACCTTTAGGTCTGCTTTTCAAGATAATTTTTGTGAAAATACATAAAAATGTTCTATATTCCTGAATTAATGAGACCATTTTTATGAAAAATAAATCACTTTATTTGTTTAAAAAAAAAAATTCTCAGGTGAATGAAATGGACTTCCGTATAAATAAAGCTAGTAGAGACCAATATATGCAATAAACCAATCCGTTTTTCCATCACGCTTATCCCGGCTGGGGTCATGGTGGGGCCAGTGCCTGTCTCCAGCTGTCAATGGGCGAGAGAGGGGGTACACCCTGGACAGGTCGCTAGTCTATCGCAGGGCAACATAGAGACAAACAGGACTTAGAACCATTCACACACACACCCTCACATCTAAGGAGTATTTTAAGAAGCCAATTAGCCTAACAGTCATGTTTTTTTGGACTGTGTGAGTAAGCCGGAGTACCTGGAAAGAACCCAAGCATGCACAGGGAGAACATGCAAACTCCATGCAGAAATACACCAGGCTGGAGATCAAACCTGGAAACTACAGCACACCCTAGAGCAGGGGTCACCAACGTGGTGCCTGCGGGCACCAAGGATCCCTCAATGACCACATTAGACATAGACAACTTTTATTGTAATTTTGTATACACAGAGTATATAGAAAAACAAATTGCATTTTGTACATTGGGTGTCTTCTGCAGCTTCTGAAAACAGAACAACTCACCCGTGGCCTAAGTTTGAAATTTCATTGCATTCTGCTTCTCTTCTTCTTTAAACATTTATAGAGCATTTTATCATATTAATCATATAGGGCATTTTAGCATTTAGGGGGATTTTTTTTATTTTTATAACAGTGTCCTGTCTGGCAATGTGGCAATAAGAATAATTGTCTTGATGCCAAAAAGAGCCCAACAGATTTTACTTTCACAAGTGTAGCAGTACAGCAATTGCCATACTGCTCCACTTGTTTCATGCATATAAATTGCTTTATTATAATTATGCAGGGAGTTTTACAGTTAATATGGAGACTGCAATGTAAATAGAGCAGAAAAACAGAAGAAGAAAAGGAAAAAAGAAAAAAAAGAGAAAAGATGAAACAAAGAAGACATGGAAAGGAGACAATGAAAAAACATTTTCAGTCTGCTTCATCACCTCTAACGAAATGAAAAAAGAACAGCACAACCTTAAGACATGGTACGAGACCTACAATAAAGCAACACCTTGAAACTATCGCTAAAGTAACATTATTAAGTCTGACATGTACTCTGTGTTACCTGAAGATACGGATGTGGGGTTTCTGTATGGAAGTGAATATCTGAGTACCTGGAGCTAAGCACCTGTAATTTAGGGGGATTTTAAAATAAAATTATCTTAAGAAAATTAGAAATGAATAGACAAAAATAAAAATCTGTTTATTATGTATGAGTTTTAGGTGAATGCCAAGTCCTCCAGTTCATAGGTCAGAATTTTTAACCCCCTTCTATGACTCAGTACCCAAAAAGGTTGGTGACCACTGCCCTACAGTTTAACTGGCTACTTTATCATGTGCACCTTGCTAGTAGGAGATTGGAGAATTTGCTTCCAGGTCTCTAAAATTCTGAAACACTAATTTTAAGATTTGGGAACATTCCTAAGAGTTACTGATCATACTGACTGACAAATGTGTCACCTGCAGACACACCATGCAAATATCTGCCACACCCTAAAGGTTTGCTAAGAAATATCCACAGCACCATTACACCAACGCCACCCATGTGAACCACAGATTTAATACATCAAGGATCAATGTTTTCACGTTTACACCAAATCTTAACCAAACATCTGATTCTTGCAGCTGATATAGCAAGCAAGGATTTTTGTTTTGTTTTGTTTAATACCAAAATGTATGGTTTGTGTGCATTGAACAAGAATGCTGCCAAAATTCAGTTGTGCTTGAAAATGTAAATACCTTTCCATAAAAAATGGGGGGAAAAAGCTGCCAATCACTGAAAATCAGGTATTTTTTGTAATGCTCATGAAACGTTTATTTAGACTTCTGCACCTGTAGATAGGTATGTTGGTTCACTGTTCATGAGTACTTTCATTTGTCTGGGACAGTAGTTTTATTTCTAAATATTTTTCTAAACAAAAATCCGTATTTTATTATTTTTCTTTTTTCCAGATTGTTGTTAATTGAATTGGTGTGCATTTATCATTTTTTTTTTAGAGGGAGAGTATGTTAACCTTTAAGCACAACAGTAAGTTGGTTGCAACTGTTTTTTTAAGCTGCTGTTCTCCTTTAATCTTCTTAAAACCCATAAATCTGCAGGGGCCATTCTCTGTAAACCCTATAGTTGGTCGTTTATAAATATTTAATTAAATCAGCAGTAAATTACTCAGAACAACCGCCTCATACAAACAAACATGCCAAGTTAAAGTCACTTAAATCTCTTTTCTTCCTCATTCTTATTATCTAAACGGCCAAAAATCATCTGTCTAGATGCCTAAATATAAAATCTGAATAGGTCTGTATAAATAATAGAGAGATAAAGAGAGCCAAGAGATTCACTTTCAAGTCACATAAGTTGTCTGTGCTTCTGGAAAGAAAACAGTTGGTAAAATCAGAATTCGGTTTACTGTAATTAGGTCCAGATGGTTTGTAAAAATGACAGAACAATGAAAACAGACATGATAAATGATGAGAGCACATCTGTCCTTTGTTTGCTTCGGTGTTAAGCCTACTCTACAGTGGCCTGGTGCCCTCAACCCTTTTATATGTTTTAGGCAGACAAACCCATTTCCACACTTTCGATCCACAAGATTAACTGTGCCTGCTGTTTTTTACTCATGTCTTCCAACTCG